ACCGTGTGTTTTTTTTTTTTTTTTTTTTTTTTTTTTTTTTTTTTTTTTTTTTTTTTTTTTTTTTTTTTTTTTTTTTTTTTTTTTTTTTTTTTTTTTTTTTTTTTTTTTTTTTTTTTTTTTTTTTTTTTTTTTTTTTTTTTTTTTTTTTTTTTTTTTTTTTTTTTTTTTTTTTTTTTTTTTTTTTTTTTTTTTTTTTTTTTTTTTTTTTTTTTTTTTTTTTTTTTTTTTTTTTTTTTTTTTTTTTTTTTTTTTTTTTTTAAACAACCATGTAACAACAGAACGACTTTAATAGTGTTTGCTTATTTATATAAAAAAAACTGAACAAGTTTTGTAAATATAAAATTTATCAAGTTAATTTAGAACTACGTCTTAATACTATAATACTTTAAGTTCAGTACATGTGCATACGTAACTTAACTAAGTATTTTATTATAATTTGTTGCTCACCGTTTTGATGAATCCTATTAACAAACAGTGTGACATTTTTTTTAGATTGATATTAAATCTCACTTGCACCGTCCTTGCATTAGTCTATCTATACAATTACAGTTAGAGTTACAAGCCTATATTTCATCATTAACATTATCTTAGATCAAAGATGACCTTTGGTTGTGTCCGGTTTGGCCTCGGTCTTATCTTTCGGATGAAGCTGCTTAAATCAAAACGTCTGCAATTGTATGTATATTTTCACAATTTTTTAATTGTAAGACAAGTTTTATTTAGAGAAAAACTATTTTGTCGAATAAGAAGTCATTAATTTGAAATAACTGTCAAACTTACTTCAATTTTATTTATTTGAATTCAAAACTTAAATTGATAAACTTTAAAATAAACAACATTGAACCTTTAAAATAAACTTGAAGCAATGTCAAGAACAAGAAGACATATAAAAGCAGTGTAATTGTTAACTTGACAAGTTCAAATGCACATACATTTTGCAAAGTTCAGAAATTCTCAGAAGCATTTACAAGAGTTACCGGCCCATACAAAAATAATATGTAAATCTTATGTGATCTTATTTCTGTAAATGAAGGTTACCTAGGCTCTCACAGAATGTGCGAGTCGGTACGGAGCTAGACTCGTTTCGGTGTGGAAAATCTTTCCAAAAAAATCATAACGTGTCTTCGTTTCAAATCATCTATAGCGTGACTGCTTTATATTTTATGTGTATTTACAGTCTTTGTGTACATTCAGTGTCATTTCTGATGATTGTCTATTCTCATTTCCTGGTGGAACCTTTCAAAAAGTACATGTACATGTTCTAAGTGCCAGACTTTTTGATCATTGTTACTTGGATATCTTGTTAAAAATTACACAAAATAAAAAAATACTGATAAATTCTAATTGTTCCGTCCTCGATTGACATGGATGGTATAATGACGCAAGCCGATATCCGTACTGGATATACGGTGTCCAAAATTTATCCTTAGGTATGACTTGTTTACTTTAGCTATGTAGGGCGAAATAAGTGTGCTCCGACACCAGATTTCGTCAGTCTTTTGAATTCATCTTATTAATCTTCAGTTACAATCGGTCCAAACTGGTTGGGCATGTTTCAAGAGACGCTAGAGTTACAAATTCTGAATTTGATTTATACAACAATGCTTATGCAGACTTTTCTACGATCACGTCTGCTAAATGTATTTTCGTTCGTTTAAACTTTGTTTATTCGGTAGATTTTATATACATATATACAATAAGTTCAATACTGTTTCATTAATGTAACAAAGCAAGGAAGAAATAATAACATAATTATTAATGTCTATTCCTAACAAGTTAAGGTAAATTAAAAAAAATACAAAATATGTTGCTGTTAAATGTAGTCTATATAAATTCTTGAAATGTACATTAAACAATATATTTATACCGTTATTGAAAGACGTTAACTTAATATAAATATACTTTAAGTAGTTTTTGTGTTTCTTTTTTATGAATCGTAAGTGAATAATGTAAACATTTAGCATTTTAAACTACATATATTTGCCATTAAAGACCCGGTAACTTAATTTTTTATGGTTTTGTATCATAAATATAATGCTCAAATTAAGATTTATCAATATTGAAAGTTTCAAAAAGCATTATTTGTAAAGATATTACCGAATATACATTTCATTTTAAAAAAAGGGAGATAATTAGAAATTTACACTACATGAGGGGCATTAGGAGTCTCTACAATAACACAAAATATTTTTTTTCAATACGAAATGAATGCATATATTTTAATGATTAAATATAACGTGGACAAATATAACAGGATATATTTTACAAATTCTTCGATGTTTGAAAATTGTTTTAGAAGCATAATTATAAACATATATAAAATTTCACTTGAGTGTGGTAACAACCTTAATTATAACATACTGGATTTTTAAATCTAATAGCATTCTGGGATATAAATGAACTTTCACAAACTCGTTGTTCATAGATCTAGTGCTATCGTAAAATGAGGTTATCATTTGAATAGGAGTTCATATACCTATCCCTGGTCGTATTAAACATTATATGATTGCAAAATCGTATTTAAAAGAAATTTGCTTCACGTAATTGTTAACTGTAATGACACCGGATTTCGATCGCCTACATAAAATCTTGCGAATGATTTAAATATTTAAGTAATCATTATTTTAGATAAGCAAAGTTAAAATGAAAATATTCTACATCGAAAGCTTTATCATTGCAGGTTGAAACGTATTATTTTTATTATTATTATTATTATTATTATTATTATTATTATTATTATTATGATTATTATTATTATTATTATTATTATTATTATTATTATCGTAATTATAATTAATTATTATCATTATCATTATCATCATCATCATCATTATTATTATTATTATTATTATTATTATTATTATTATTATTATTATTATTATTATTATTATTATTATTATTATTATTTATTTTCATTATCATTATCATAATTATTATTATTATTATTATTATTATTATTATATTATTATTATTATTATTATTATAATTATTATTATTATTATTACTTTCATTATCATTTTCATTATCATCATAATTATTATTATTACTATCAATCATCATCATCATCATCATCATCATTATTATTATTATTATTATTATTATTATTATTATTATTATTATTATAGACATGCTCATAGACTTAGTAGATATATTTCGTTATATCCTTGAATAGCGCTACTTCGTCTGTACTTTTGTGTGCTTCTTGATTTATTTTTGTTACATTTGTGTCATATGACATATCTAGAGGTATAATTTACCCAGCTTATTATGCGTAAGAAACATCTTCATATCTGGTGATCTAAGGGAGGTAAATATATTTTTTGGAGTATCGGGCCTTTATAATCTATAATAATAGTATAAGTATTTAGCAAAATATGCAAGAAAAGGTCATGATAATTTGTTATACCCTATGCTCCATGACTGTTGAAGTTTGATACTGGAGAGCTTTGAAATGCGTGTGAGCGAAATTTGTTTAAATGAATTTTAACCGTTTTCTTGCTGAATTTGTGTAATATACTTATTTCGATTTTAGTTCTATTTTTATTTGATTGTTTTCGAAAATGTTAGCCCTGAGATTAAAATTGAGTTTCCTAACTAATCTGTTGATGATGATAATAATGATGATAATAATGATGATGATGATGTGGTTATTGTTGTTGTTTTGTTAGAATCATTGATACATTCAGTAATAAATTATGTGATTAACAATCATTGGTGTAATTCAATCTTTTCATGATTTCATGCAGATAATTGAACTTTTCGACCTTTGTTTTCATGTTAATTTCAAATCATTTGCATACATACGCTAATTTGTACCCAGATAAGATTTCAGTATTTGGCGTAAAGAAGAGGCCCGTCCGACTTGATTAGTCGATAAACCGATAAAGCGGTCGATTTTTACGTAGCACCAACACAGTATAGGTAATATGTCGAGTAGTCTTTTTTGTCGACTTTCCTTGTGAAGGAAGACCTCAGGTGCCATTTCGTGCATTATTTCAGGCACCTGAGTGATAGGGCAAGTGGTGTGAAGTCAACAACCTTAACCACTCGGGTATCTATCAAAAAAATTACAGCTGGAAAGAAACAGAAGTACGGAATCGCTCGACTAGGCTACAACTGAAATGAGAGAGAAAAAAAAGGAAATCAGTCAATTACAAAGATTTATTAACATATATTAATATAATATTATAACAACCCAAACATTTATCACTAAATATTATTTGGTTCAAAACAAAATGTGTGTACAGCATATGCATTTTGTTTTCCATAATACATTCATGTATAGCATTATTATCAATAAAAAATGCTTTAAAACATGTAAGAAGAATTGGTCAAAAATGCATGGATAAAAAAATGTAGAAGAATCGAGAACCAAAACAGTTCTTTATCGTGTGAAATGCATCATAGATATACAGGATATGTATAAGTCGTAGGTCATATTAAGTATTAGTTTTAAGGGCCTCACTGTGCTAATGCATCTATGATTAGACCCTCTCTCCCTAACATGATACTTACTCGTGCACAAGTACTTGCTATATACATGTATGATTGAAATATCTTTAACAAAATGGGATTTCGATGGATTCTTATAATTCATATGTGCCTTAAAACTATAGGTTCGTTTTGTTTACGTATAATTGATAATTCATTTTATTTATTTTCTTATTTTCTTTTCTTCGGAGTGTTATAATTCAATAATTATGATGTGTGTCTAATGTATGTAACTGTGTTATTCACGTGTAACTGGCGATTAAATGTAACAATATCAAGTTAAAATACTTCAGTTGTTTGAATATCCTGCACTTTAATAATAATAATAATAATAATAACAATAACAATAATAATAATAATAATAATAATTATTAATAATAATAATAACAATAATTATTATTATTATTATTATTGTCATCATCATCATCATCATCGTCATCATCATCATCGTCATCATCATCATTATTATTATTATCATAATTAAAAACAATTTAAAAACTTTTTATAGCTGCACTGAATTGCTACATGTGTCCACGTACAGACGGACAATCACCTACTGATGCAAATATAGAGTGTCTTGCTCTTGGATGGGAGATTTCATGCTCACCGGACCAGGTAAGATTTCTTCATATTGTTTTCTTATCTTATTATTGTATTGCATTCAGAGAATAAAATCAAAGCACAGAAGGCGCTGAATTTGTTTGGGTCTCAGAATGTAAGAAAGGTGCAGGTTGTGAGATTATATGTTTAGTGCCACCAATGCTTTCCAGCGTTTTAATTGTAGTAAATTGGCTATTAGACTAATTGCAACACTGATATTCAATCCAATGTTTATTTGACTTTAACAATTTAAAAAAATGAGTAACCTTTACTGGGATTTGAACTCCAGACCTCTCGCTTCCTAAGCGAGCCCGAAAACCCTTCAGCCACGGTGAATTTATATGTGAACGGCCTGAAGAAAACCATATTATTCTAAATTAGGGCTTGTAACGACTTTAACTGTTGTTTAACACAGATGTAAATAATCCTGGAGCTTACTATAAGCATGTATATTTATAAAGAATCAAACGGCTGCAAGTTCTGTGGTATTTTCTGATCTTTGCAATCTAAATCGTACTGTATATCTGTATGCATTTTCCTGTATAAGTTTATTTTTATGTATTATAATTCCTTTTGTAAGGCACCAGAGTTTGATACATACGGAATTCTGCAGAACTTGAGTTGCATCAAAAAATCATTTATGTTCTTTTAACGACAGCCACACTTTATCTTTGTATATCATGGCTACTTCCTTAACAAAAACACTTAAAAAAAAAGAATTTAACAAAAAAAAAAAAAGTTTCCTCGACTGGGATTCGAACTCGAGACCTCTCACACACGAGGCGAGCGCGTTACCACTGTACCACGGAGAAGTTATACACAGTGTGGCTGAATAATATCAAGTCATTCTAAATTTAGAACTTCCATTGAAGTTCGGGTTTGTAATCCTTATTAATTTCGTGGTATTTTGTTCAGGGTAAACCTGTTGTTTATAATTGAAGTAAATATTTTAGCGAAAATCCTCTCGCCCAAACGGTCCGGCATGTAGAATCTATATATTCCACTACTCGGTTTGTGTAGTATTCGGTAATCAACATGGCTAAAAATAGTATTTTCATTGATAAAATCATATTCATCCGCGTAATTTGTGATTGTGCATTTATTGACAATTCTATAAGCCAACGCTATTGTTTAACTTTAAATGCGTTGTAATTTGTTTGATACTTGTAACAAAATAAAATATTTCTTTCTTTTAAATCGCTAGTTTTAAGCTGTTTTGAGAACTACTTGTTGTTAGGTTTGTAGTAAACTTCTGTGTCAGAGATTGAATGTCCGCTTTGTATTTAGTTATTTTCGATCAGAAAATACAATAAAACAATATTAGAAATCTTTGACCATTCGGCAATTACTTTGCTTGAAAATTGATGCGCCTGTCTTTGACCATCTTTACGCAGTGATCTCCCCTGAATTTTTCGGCTTTACTGTACATACAAAAGGGAAGTAACCGCTCCAAAAAAGTGGACTACTTTCGGCATTTGCAATTAACAACATTAGACTCTGAAATTTCGCTACCATTATTTGTTTGGTCTGACGACCCAAACAAATAAAAACCAAAATGGAAATTGTCTGCTAAAAAAGAAACTCATTTCAGGCTTTTACGTGTCTAGAGCAGGGTATCTAAAGCGATTATTTCTCTGCGCAACTGCAAGAGCCTGTTGGGGTGTGTGGGGGTTTATTTATACACTTTGAGTTAGATATGTCACTTAAATGGTTTGATATGAAGCAGCTAGTTATTTGATGCCTGTTTATCTATGGAAATGCAGTTTTACTTTAACGGTCCAATTTATTGATTGAAATTATCATAACATAAACTTCTTTTGATTCTATTATTATTATTTTTATCATAATTTTTATAATTATTATTATTATTATTATTATTATTATCAGTATCATTATAATCATTATTATTATCATTATCATTTTTATTATTATTATTATCATCATCATCATCAGCATCATCGTCATTATTATTATTATCATTATATCATATGAAATATAAACTGATATTTGAAACATGTGCCACCTGTGTTTAATAGGATAGATGTTTTAGCCGATTCCATTTCGACTCCACAGAGGTACAGAAAGGTTGTGGAAAGAGTGAAGAATGTGTAGGCAGTACTTCCTGTTGTGAAGAAAGTTACTGTAACGCCGGTACGTAAATGAAGGGAGGTGACTCTGTATTTCATTTACAAAATGACTGAACTCTTGAAACGAATAATAATAAATAATTATTAAACGTCTGTGTTAATGGCAACAATCTTAAAAAATTAAAATTACTCAGATGTTCAGGTCGGCGGGGTTGCTTTAAGTTTGGTCGGGTTGTCCGAAACACAGAATTATCTTATGTCTTACCAATACAGAAAGAAACGGACCTGAAATATTGCGCTCTTCACAGTTTTATTATTTTCT